AGTGGACGAGAGAAAATTCTTGCTGCTGATCATAAAAATAAATTCTTTGTTTTAAATTATATTTCTAGTTATAATATATAGTAAATTTTAAATTAGTGGATAAAACTTTTTCATAAATAGTAGTGTTTATCTTAAACTGAACAGTGAAACACAGATGATATATTTACCTTAAAGTTTGTAAGTAAAATGTAGCTATGTACAGAACTATAATGTCCAAAATCTTGGATTTCAAAATAAAATCTATCGTTATACTACAAAAGCTAATATCATTGACTTTTTCAATTTTGAAATCAAATGTAATATCTTTGTATTGTATTCTGTAAGTTTTGACTAAAAAAGTTTGAGTTTTTCAATGGTTTAATAGTGTTTATAATTACAACATTAAAGCATGGTTCATCAGTACCAATCTGTAGACTGTCTTTGTTGTAAGATCTGTTTTCTGACAGGTTGTATAACAAAATAATATGGCCTATTAAACAGGACAACAGAAGATTTATTGAACAGAATAAATCTATTATAATATGTTGTTTGTGGACTGAAAGTATACTTTAAAATTTAAAATAAAATAATTAAAAATAGCTGCAGAAAGAAATAAAACTGATAAATTCAGAAGATATCTTTAATTATTTTTCAAATTTGTCCTGTTCTTCACGTATCCTGAGGTACTAGTGTAATTTAAAAAATATTTTTGACAATTTTATTATTCCTTAAACCTTCATATTTTGAATTATTATTTTAAAATAAAATAATTAAAGTGATAAATTAACACTTACAGCATTTCTTTGTTCTATTTTCTGACTAGCCAAATGTTCAGCTCGATCCTGTTCTTCACGCAAGTTTTTTGCTACACTAAGCATAGCATCTTTACTGGGATGTGATTCAACCTATAAAATTAAGACCAATGCTAATTATCATATAAATATCATTATAAGATTATGCAACAGATATTCAATTTATAATTGAATAAATGAGAGTCATATAAATATGTTAGGATTATTTCAAAACAAATAAAAATAAGAAATCTTTAAAAATATAAATTTACAATGCATATGATAATAAAAGCAAGAATAACTGAAAAGAATAATTTATTATATAATAAAAATAATTTACTATTTTAAGCAAATTTTTATTTAATAATAATACGAAGTGTAAGAAAGTCATTTTTGCAGTTAGTTTTGATTTTAAAAGAACTTTATACTATTTTAAAGTAAATGACCATCGTGATAAATAGTTTGGCCTATGCAACAGTGGAATATCCAGGATTTTAAGAATACGGGTGTTGCTCAAGATAGATTTGGAAATCTAGGCATGTGTTCCCTGTCATTTTTTGGAGAATGTTACTGAATCACCTTACAGCAGAGATGCACAGACCGTGGCCCTTCATTGATTTGTTGGCGGCCTGCTTCATCATTATTTTAACTCTTAAATAATGCCCTGCTCAAATGTATTTGATCTTAATTTAATTAATTAATTAAAAATTAATAATGCAGCTTCAAATTCCCACAATCAATTCAAATAAAAGTTATTTATGTTTTATTGGATGTCTTTTATGAGTTCACAAAATTTTGTAATAATATATACAATAGAAATTTTTTTTTCAGTCTCCACCTTTAACAATGCAATGAGTGACTTAATAATTGGTAATTTATTTCAGTATACTCAGTAAAGTCAACACATCTGGCAAGATAGCTATCTCCCCCGTGACTGAAGCTATTGTCTTCAGGTTTTCTTTCAGAAATTTATCATTTAGGTGTGATTCTCAACATGTACAGTTCCAGTTTTCTGGTAAAGTGGTTGTTTAAGGTTTTCTTTGTTTGAACAAGAAACAATATCTTTAACTGAATACACTATAAAAATAAATGAGTTTTTAACAAAAACTGGATTTAAAAAACATTATATAATTAATTATGCATCAATTTAACAAGTCACATAATAAGTAATTTTTAAAATTTGCACATGTTCACAGCAAAGTAGCTGTGGCACTAGGAGTGGCATGTGTGCAGGCCAGGGACAACCGTTATCATTCAGTTGTCAATGCATGCGCCATCCACATGGTTTTATGTTGCATTGTATTTTATGATGTGTTTGAATTTTTGGCAATAAAGATAAATGTGAAATTCTGGAGGGGGCAATTAAATAATTAGATTAATTAGTTAAACTAACATGCAGTTAATGCAGAAGTGGAAAAAACCCACTTTCTTTCCTCACCACCTGGAATTGTTGGTGACCTCTGATCCAATAGATAAGGACGATCAAATAACCATACAAATACAGTAGACCCCCCTATAACACGGGTTCCTATATTTCGGATTCCTATATGACGGCGAAAAAATTGTGACAGTATCCATACAAACATGGTAAAAAAACTCCTATAATTCGGTAAAACGTCATCGGGCAGCCGAACTACTTTCCACCGTCCAGCGCCACGCTACGGAGAGTTTAGGCGAGTAAGTTGAGTTTACTATCGTCTGTACAGTATGTGAATTAGGTACCGTAAGTCTAATACAGTACTGTAATTTAAACATTTCTTGTGAAAGAAACATTTCTTATTCAACGGCCATAAAAATTATTTATATTAATGATGTCTCCAAAGTTCAACGAAGTTTTCGCAGAAAAATAACTTATCAGAAATCGCGNTTTGGGGGAAAATTTTGAATTAAAATCACGTGACTTCCGGTGCAAACTGGAAGTTCATATATAGTTAATTGGGGCTACCTGCCCCTAAGCTTTCCGTATATATCTCGACTTTTATCTAATTAACTTCGTTCTCGAGATTAAGAAAAGAGGCAGTCAGACGACAGTGGGAATATATAGGTCTACTATTTTTCAAATTGCAACCCAATTAATTGAACAGAAAATCCAGTTAGGTGATCCTCAACCCGATGGGGCGGGAGACAAGTTCTTCCGCTGCCTCCCCTGTAGCGGAAGAACTTATGCCCCTGATGCTTGATATCTAGAGCAAGCACCTAATGAAAAAGAACAATTATCTCGTTCAGTCATAAGAACTATAATAATATATTTATGATTAATGTTACTAGTAATACTCTTATACTAAAAATAAAAATAATAATAATAATAGTAAATAAAGATAACTAGAATAAAATTAAGAATCCAAAAGTGGCCATGTTAGACAGAATATGTCAGAACTCGTTAAAAAGAAATTTCTTATTTCTTCCTTCTTTTCATAAAAAAAAAGAAAATAAATAAATAAATAAAGCCTGAAATTAAAACCTTGTTCAGAATTCTATTCAGAAAAAGATATTAATAATTACTTTTATATAATTTATTGAATTTATTTAAAGTTTTCAAATAAATATAAAAACAAACATTAATAAAAAGTTTTTTTGAGTAATTTGATTGAGTTTTAGCCAAAAAAAGAAAACGCCTTCGGAAAATATTAAATTGTTTAACTATTCTCTTTCTATATTAATACATTTGTTTAGCCAATTTCTTGACGTTTTTTCATTGCTAGAAATACGAACCAATAAGTATTATCAATTCTTATATTTCTGATGATTTCATTGTTTCATGTTAACTTAACAGAATACGTTTTGAAATTTATAAGGGACACGTTTAGTAGAATGAAATATTTTTGTTTTTTCTTAATATTTGATAATGCAATATTCTGTTCTGAAGCCTGTCTTTACGAGAAACTGAAAAAAGAGAGAGAGAGAGAGAGAGATTCTTGATATTGAAATTTTCCCAATAATGTAAATAATGTGAAGGCTAACTTTGTGAGTCCTTTTAATATGAGATAAGATAAATAAATTTTAAATTAAATCATTGTCAAAATCTGATTTATAAATGCAATATTAATCCATTTGTAACAAAAATAACACTTTATTAATAGTTTACTAAAATCAGAATAAAGAATTGCATTATTTCCATTAATTCATTTATATATAACTTATATATAATCATTTTATTCTTCACATAGATGAAATGCATAAGACTTATTAATAAGAGTATACTTTATTTTCATTATTAATATTTCAATATAAATTAGATATCTATATTTTGTTATTTTTGATTTTGCATAACTTAAAAAAATCTTTAAATATACTTCAATAAAGTCCTTGTGAAGAATAAATTCATTCAGATAATTAATATATATAAAATATTATTGCATTTTAAGTCAGCCGAATGGCTCATGATGATGAGATTCTTTCATTTTGAAGGATCCGAATTCGAATCCAGGATGGACCCTTAGTATTTTTATGCATAATTCTGACTGAGAATTTGTTACTATCTTCATTCGTTCCACCTATTATGGGTAAGTCCATCTTATAGTGGATACATTGAAACCGTTGATTTCAGTCCACAAATATGATGAAAAAATTGAATTAAGTTCCATTTTATGACACAATTTAAAACATTGTTTCAAAACTTGAAATCCATCTCATTAACATGTTAAATATTTTATTCAATATAACTGTATATAATCATTGAATTTAAAGACTAAGTAATGAAAAATACTTCAATATTTATTAAAGATCTATAAAAAAGTTACTTGATTTGTGTTCTCAGACGAAGCACTTCTAATATATTGTATATCCAGGAAATGAGGCTAAAATAATAAATATATTGTTAACGCCATTATAGTTTCATATTGCTGTGCAATTTTGTAATGCAAAATTGAGCATCATCTAGGAACACATTACAATATGCAAAAATCGTTCTCCTTCTCCTGCAACAGAGTTAGATGGAATCCGGCAATATTGACCCATCGTTTGTGCAAAATATAACATAAAAAATATTTGTGTGGACTTATTATATTAACAGTATACAGCAGCGTTTTAAAATGTTTTGTAACAAATCAATATTGTTCAAATAGGCTTATGCCTATATGAATAAATATTAACGTAACATTTTGTTTTTTAAATATTTACTAAAATTATTATATTTTTGTGAATTAATTAATAATTCATTATATCGTTTCAAAAATTAAAACTATATAAATTTTTGTAAATTAATTTTATAAAAATGTATATGAATATTTTTAAAAATGAAATTATTCACATTCACATAAAATTTGAAAGTAGCATTCAAAAGAGCTGAAATGTGGAAATTTGTTGGCAATTAAATTAAAATGTTGCATTTAAATCTGAGTTTGGAACCAGAACTATAGTTCTCAGATTATTTTTTAACAACATTTTCAGTTTCATGACTGAATGGAAAAGATTTGGTTTTTTCCTAGTAGTCCTTCCTTCGTTTTTACACAGATTTCTAAACAAAATCTTCGTCCTGCAAAAAAATTATTTAAAAATGTCATTAAAAACTTATAACAAATTCCAACAGATTACTATATAAACGATCAAAAAGCATTCAGTTAAAACCTTTGGCAATGGATGCTTGAAATCTGCTCCATAGCAGCATCTGATGAATAAGGCCAAGCTACCTATACCCCAACCAAACGCACCGATCCAAATGGATATCTGTTTTATAAAATATTAATATTATATACTAGCTTTACAATTATATATGTAATCATATAAAAACCATGTTATTTGTTTCTTACTTCAGATCTTAATTGCGTATAATAAAAACCATGCAATTTGGTAAACGTTGAACAGTTCAAATATTGGACGGTTGAACAACTGTAAAGAAGAAAATAATCTATTTAGCAAACGAAATATGAAGTGAATAAATTTACTATTTCTACTTAACTTACGAAAAGCATGTAATGAATATTAAAATATTTTTTCTATACTGTGTAATTAAACTTTTTATATAATAACATATATTATCATATTTCTTTTTACAGATTTATGTTATAAATAATAAATATTTGACAATTCAATACATTAGCAATGTATCTAATTTGAATACCACAAAAAACACTATAATTACATTGACAGTACTGAAAATATTTGGTATCATTATTGCAATCGTAATACTATAATAATTATAGTGTAACTAAATAATTTTTCTCGAAAGTCCACGGATTCGTGAATATTAAATTTACCTTTGAAGTCACAATTTCAGAGATGACAACCCCCCTCAAAGTTAAAATGTTGTCATCTGGAAAAAGGGGCCCTAAAGAACAAGGTATAAAAACAAAGATATAAAAACAATGTTACAATGACATCTCAATCGTAAATGATAAAACATGATTCGCTCTGCTGTTTTCTACCATTCCGTATCCGGTCACCTTCTTCCAGCACTTGCAAAATCATTAAAAGATGCAGGTAAGTGCCAAAATGCATCATTCCTTCGAATTTGAAAGTCGGAGGATTGATGAGTATAGCGCTTAATGTTACAGCAAATCTATTGTTATTCGCCCGTAGTTTCGATTCTTCTTAACAATTAAACCTCTATTGACAATGGATGTGTTTGATGCACATAAGAAGTTTTCGATGATTTCACAATTAAAAAAAACTCAGGCGTTATTTATACCACATAAAACTATCTTCTATTTGTAGTCTTTTTATGTGAACTTGCTGTTTAACGCTACACTTCGTCGCGAATGGAAAAAGTTAATCAATAATGAATCTAAACAATTCACAGAAAAGGGATACAGAAGATAATCAAATTAGTTATATTTAATGGAATAATGCAAGGCAACAACAAGAGCAATCTACCAAGGAGGGCTTCCTAGAAGGTTTCTATGGGAAACTGTTTCCTATTTAGGTATTAGATACGTGAAGAGAACTCGGAAAACTTCGTATGGCAGTCCGTTGGTCAGGTGCGAATCCAGGATTAACTTCTAATGTTCAGTAGTTTAATCGGCTCGGTCACTAATGGGCACAATCAACTTAGAAACTGTTTTAGTATTCGTTTTTCACTACTTGTATTTTTTTCAGTGCAAAAGAAATCAATTGTAAGAATCTTCGAAATATATAAAATAGCCAAGGATGAATTACAGGTACTACAATTGCATAGCTCAAAGTCGGTTGGAGTTGGTGAAACTGAATAATGTGGGAGATCAAAAAATAATAAATGTGACAAAGAGAAGAACGTGAATAAACATCAAGATATTCGAATTTTGAGTACGGATCTTTAATTATATTATTTACTGAATTATTTATGAAATATTTATAATAGTAGACTATATTTGCATTTTTTAAATACATTAATGGTGATATAAAATACAGTATAATTTTAAATAAAAGTTTAGTGCACGTTTTAGTCATAGTATAGTATTGATAATTAATATTTCGTAGTTAAATTATTTAGCTATTTTTTCTATTACTTTAGATTTAATAAATTTAATCTGTAAAAAAAAAAGCATTTAAGAAATACGAAAATAATAATTTGAATTCAAACTTGAATAATACTTAATATTGTACAATTATAAATGTGCAATATCTGCAATACATATTCGTTATAAATACATATTAAACATATAAATATTATTTCTAAATTAAAAATAAAATGCAGTATGATATAAATAAATAAAAATTATAGCAATGTTTATTATGTATTTATAACATATATGCATTGCAGATACTGTACATTTATAATTGTACAGTATTACGTATTATTCAAGTTTAAATTCCAATTATTTTTGTATTTCTTATATACCTTTTTACAGATTAAATTTATTAAATCTTAAAATATATTTCAATTTCTTTTGTAGTGAGCATTACTTTGACAAGTAACTATTGATCTTGATCTAATAAATCGACTATTTATTTTAATACTTTTATATACTCTTTGCATTTTAAATTTACTGTTTTACAGATCTACTTGGGTTACTATTTTAGTGTGTCGCTATTTTTAAGTTTTTACACTATTTTTTTATTTTTTATGCTTTCATTAATAATCGATACTGTTATATTTTACTATATAATTTCTATATATTGATTTAAATCCTATTTAAAATATTGCATACTTCTGTCGAATAAATATAAATCATTTCTTTGCTGGAGTTTTACTGTCTTTCTATTAATTTTGTTTATTTTTTTCTAATCCACGTTTTAGTTTGGAAAGTTGTAACTTCTAAGTATGCAGTATGTAGGGGAAAAGTATTTCAATCAATTAAAGCGATTGGGTAAAACCTGGCCACCAAAGGTTAACATGCTTTTGAATAATGATATGTTAGTAAAATGAATACGTTTTACTGTACGCACAACCTATTTTGTCCCTTTAGCACTACTGATATCGTTTAACGGGCAAACCACCCACGAATAGAGTGATTTTGCTAAGGGAGAAACCATTTTCATGGAGCCAAAAACAAGCTACAAAAGCTCCAAATGTGATGTAAGGACTCCGTCATTATATAGTTTGGGTTACTTAATACTTCAGGAACCAAAATAAACATCATTTTAACTCTTAAATTCTGAAAATATTTATGAAAATTCAGTGTTTGTTTGGGTGGATTCAGACTGACCTAGCCATAGGCTACATATTCAAGCAAACCTGAGCTAAATAGGTTTAACAGATAGTATATGGAATCGTGAAAGCTGCTCCTTAAAAACAGGCAGATTTCTTGAAAATTTATGCGCAAGGACTGTTTGTAATAAGTTGATTTCAAAAAAAGAAAAAAAAAACTTATGAAACAATCGATCTGCAATTCTTTTGTAACTCGCCTATTTTGCTTTGTTTAACTACAACAAAAAAGAAATAAATAAATAATGATAGAATATGTTAATCCAAGATATTAATGCTCATATTTCACCAATTTATTTTCTTTCAGAGTAAATAAAAGTTGGTTTGGACAAACAATTCTCTTGTTTTGTCGAATATAAAAATGAGCTTAACTTATTAGAAATTCTAGTTTCTAATTTAATTAGTTTCTTCTGCTATAAGTTTAAATCTGACGAAAATGGCCAGGCTTATCGTATTTTGCGTGAAAAAATGGCCGAACTGCTTTCACATTTTATTTCCTATGTACTAAGAAGTGTGCGGGTGGTTTAAACTCGTTTTGATATCGATCGTCAAACACTTGGGTGGCCAGGTTTTACTTCAATCACCTTATATTCACTGTGTTTACAATTGAATCTAACTCTTATATAAATGAATGAAATTTACTTATTGAATTTAATTTTTATGAAGAAATATTTATAAATATTAAATAAACTATAATTATGATGGAAATATATAATATTTCGTCTCTGTTCATCTTTTATACTCGATTTTCTGTCTGTAGTATAACCAATACAGTTTAAATTAACGTGTCATAAATTTCTTATTAATTAATCATTTTAAAATGATTTTATTTTAATTATTATTCGTAATCCAAATTTTTTAAATTTTAAATTATTATTTATGAGAATATCAGAGAAATAAAATATTTTAAATTATTTATTTTTAATAATTTGACAAATTTTTAAATGATTTAAAAAACGTTTTGTTACTTTTATAATTAGAAGAAATTTGAAAAATTAACTTAAATAATTTATTTCAGTTATTAATAAATAATAAAAAGCAGTTATATAAATGTTAATAAATTTTTATTATTAAATAAATTTCAAATTAATTTACTAATTCATTTTTCCGGAAATATTTAAAGGTATTCCAGAATAAAAATCAATAATCGATAACTACGTCCTAGTTCTTTTTAATTGTGAAATTTTCATTTATTTTAATTACCATATAATCGTTTTCAATCCAATTATTAAGCAAAAAGTTCTTTTAATAGAGTACATAAAATCATAACTTTAATCTATAATTTCAAAATAAATTACTTTTATGATATAAAAAAAAGAAAAAAATCATTTTAAATTCAAAAATATTCCTTAGTAAACAATAAATATTTACAGATTTTCTGTATTTTGGATCTTCGTCTTCATACAGAATTATTATCAGAAAATTTTCGTAGGGTATGAAATTTTATAATATTTATTTAAAGTCTATTGTTATCGTATCTGTTATATAGTAATAATTCAGAATTCATTACACGGTTTAATACCCTAGACCAGTGATTTTAAACGCTATAACAAGATCGCACGGACAATTTCAAAACAAAATATTAGTTTTATTTGTTTCTTGACAGTTTATATCTAAACAAAACATTAATTAAAAAAAATTATTGTTCATTTTTTTAACGAAATATTTAATGTTCGAAATTATTTTAGTAAATTAAAGAATGCTAGTGGGCATATGGCAACATTCAGTCTTCACGAGGCCAGTTATCAACAGTAATCTGTGTTTGTTCATAAATCATTAACAGTTTTTTTCTTTTATGCTGCAAAGCCAATTTTGATTCATTTGTAATTCAGTTTATAAAGTTAAATTCTGCGATAAAAAGCCATATAATGGTTAAATGGCTAATAAAGAAATCTATGAATAAACTTCATTCAGAAAATGGATAAACCGGAATTTAATTTGGCCGGTTACTACTACTGGAGAGCAAGAAATTAAATATATATATATATATGGATACTTCTGGCGAAGAAGATAATGTCTATACTTCGTACTATCCCTGGTTTATTCTCATCATCTTACTGGTCAAGTTTAATTAGTTTGAATGTTCTTCATCATGCACTAATCAATACCAACTTAATTAGGGTTGCATAATGGCACGAGGCAGAAAACAGGAAATAAAATTACGTTTCCAAAACCCTAGAGACCGTATATTAGGACCTCGTGAGCCACGGGTTGCTCATAACTGCACTAAGCGATAATTATTTAATAATAAACTATACAGAAAAAG